GTACTGATCAGGCCATGAAAATATAAAAGGATATACACTAAGGCAAGTTGTTGACAGTGGTCATGCTGTGTAATAGAATTTATTGGGTTTTTTTGGTACCAGGGATAGAACTCTGGATCTTGCACTTTCGAGGCAGGTGGTGGAGCCACTAGAAGTTGTTATTTTTTCACTCCACAAACTTCTTTCCTCATGATACCTGCCCTGTTTTCTCCAGGGTATGTTTTATCTTACTTTTTCCTTTTATTCGGCTCAAGCTTGCTGTGCAGAGCTAGGTTCTCTCTCACTCTTCACTTTCACTTTTTCAAATAAACTTTACCACTGTTTTTTACTCATTTTGTCCAATTCTTTGTTTGAGACAAGAAGAACTGGAAACTAGCTCCAGAAGGAGACACGAGCAAAAAAAAACACCAAACACCCCTTCCCCATACTTCTCTTCTTTTGGTACTGGGGATCGAACTAGGGTCCTTGTGCTTGCAAGGCAGGTGGCAGAACCACTGAGCTAAATCCCCAGGGCCACCCCCCCCCCCCGCCATACTTCTTTTCAAGAACCAAGATTTTGTTTTGTTCTGTTTCTGAGACAGGGTTTCACTACTGTAGCCCAGACTGGCCTTGAACTCTCTGTGACCCTCCTGCCTCAGCTTTCCAAATGCTAGGATTTAGGCCTGTGCTACCATGCAGAGCAAGAAGTAAGATTTTTAAAAACAAAACTATTGGTATATTCTGAATATAGATAACTTTCTGATTATAGATAACAGAGCTTATAATTTATTACAATTCTTCCCTTCTAAGAATTACCTTCTTGCTGTCCAAAATATTTTCATTTGGGCTGGGGTTCAATCCCCGCTACCAAAAAACAAACAAACAAAATATTTTCATTCTTCCAGGTCTGACTCTGGCATAATTTGCTGTTAGTCTTGGAACAATCAACTCCTTCTTTATCCTGAATAACAGCTTCCTCATTCAGAAAATGAAGCACAAAATCCAGACAGTACTTCCCGACTGGCAGACCTCGGCATGCTAGTGCCCTGCATGGCAGTGAGAAATTAACCCTCCTTGCAATGGAGCTGGTAAGAGAGGTCGGAAGAAGCCAGCAACCTTGAGCCAGGACTTCTGGTCATGAATAGTGTTATCTAGTGCTCCCTGGGGTATCACAGGCAAAGTGGTTCAGGTTGTGCACCAAGCAAGTAGTGAGCACTGTGGCCAACAACCAGTATGTGTAGTTGTGTTAGTCTTCAGGCAGCATCTGCCATATGGGCAATTACATGCAAAGTCCCCCGCTGCCCGGCAGGGACTGGAGAATGGAGCCAATGCACCAGTTTGTAATCTGGGTGCCCAAAATACAGCACATAGCCAGAGCCCCAAGGTCGCCTGTCGAGTGAGAGAGGAGCTCAGCCCCCTTCATGGCTGTCTTCAGCCTACAGTGGCTGTTTCACCCTTCGCAGCTAGTGCCTTTTCTCTTTTTAAAATTTTTTTTATTTTTGAGACAAGGTCTTGCTGGCCTCAAACTCACAGCAAACTTCCTGTCTCAGCCTCCCCAGTGCTGGGATCTTAGGCGTGCGCCACCTCACTGCTACAGTTGGTGATTTTTATAGTTGTATCCAAGCTAGCTGTGTCAATGTATGCATGTTCTGAAAGCTGGAATTTCAATGTGGACTGGGGACTGAGTCCAGGGAGAACTGAGCTACATCTTCAGCCTGTTTTAAATTTCATTTTGAGACAGGATCTTGTTGAATTGCTCAGGCTGGCCTTGAACTTACGACCCTCCTGCCTCCCCGCTTAACAACTAGTCAGGATTATAGGGTTTCAGCAGGACCCTCAGCCTAAAGTAAAAACCTTCATACTAAAATGCACTCTTGGGTTTGAAACCCATTTACATTATCATGTGAAATTACGTTTGTCAATAAAAGAAAAGGAAGAGTTAGATTCGTTAAATACAACTATAATTATAATTATAAATTTTGAATGGATGTTTAAAATGGTTTTAAATATTTTATCACCCACTTATGTGATCAGAGGCCCTCAATGATAATGACTGTTCAGAGTATGAGGAGGTCATCATTAAAAAGTCTGGATCAAAAACTGTGCAAAGCCATTTCACTACTAAAACCTAGTAAACAAACATATTCACAGAAATAAGTTAAAATCGATCATTTAAAAACATGGACATTTTTATTTGAAAGTTTTATTTGAAAGTAAATTCCATGTTTAGTATCATCCCTAATATTCTGTACTTCCTTTTTAAATCAAAATTGTATAGATGGAAGAAAATGTTAGGAATATTTTTGAATTTTTTTTTTTTTTTTTTGGTACTAGGGATCAAACTTGGGTCCTTGCCCTTACGCAGCAGGCGGTGAAACCACTGATCTAAATCCCCGGCCTAATATTTTTAACCAACTATCATCCAGATGGCTCCAAATCTCTTCTAGTTTACCCTAGTGTGCTGTACAAAATTATTTTCTGTCCGTCATGATATGAAAGAAGTTGACAGGCATTGAAATAAACAGATTATAAAGACTGTCTGCCACGGTCCCAGCCCATAACCCCCATTCCCTACTATCATATACTCTCTCACTTCTAAGAGAGTTAGGGCTGCAAGGGGGGATAGCAGTCAAGGGTCGAAGTTCAAGCCTATGTCCCACAGGGTCAAGAATTGGAGCAGGAATTCTTTGTTTTGTTTTGTTTTTTTGAGATGGTCTCATTTTGTAGTTCAGGCTGGCCTTAAACTCACTATATAGCCCAGGTTGGCCTCGAATTTGAGGCAATCCTGCCTCAGCCTCCTGAGTGCTGGGATTACAGGTGTGCACCACCACACCCTTTTTAGATAGATATTAATATGCAGTCAGGGAGGGACTGGGTGGGTCCTGGAGGAAGCCCGAACAAAAAGACCTCAGAGCCAGGTGTGGTGGAGCACTTGGAATCCTAGCACTTGGGAGGCTGAGGCAGGACTGCTTTGAGTTCAAAACCAGGTTGGGCTACACAGCAAAACCTACCTCCCCCCCCAAAAAAAAAAAAAATATCAGAATTGGGGCTGGTGGCAAATCTGAAGGGCCAGGCCTGAGGATGGAGACACAATGGCCAGACCTGGGAGATAAGCAGCAACTTGAGACTATGCTGTAATCAGCATCACCTGGTTCAGGGGGCCCAAAGAGGCACCAGATAGGTGGGAACCAGAGCACCTGGATCCATACTCCTCTCCCTTCCCCAAAATGCCTTTGTTCATCCCACACACCCTTGCGTTGTGCCTTTCCCTATCGGATCAGTATTATATTAGCTAAGCGTCCATACTTGCTATTCTAGAGGTTGACATAGTTTGACCCACACTGTACCCACGTTGTGATTTTGCTGTACAAATTACCCCTAAGGGCCTCGGCCCCCGCCTGGAAATTCAGGAGATAGTCTTCTCTTTACTCCCAATGAAACTCTGCAAACTTCCTAACGTCACTTTGCAATGTCACTCCTCCTTGTTGTGAGACCACAAACTCCCACGTTTGAGCCAGGAGTTGTATTTTTCCTTTCCAGTTATGATGGAAGCATAGCAACCACAGGAAGCTATTTGGGGGTTTATTCATCCAAGTTACTTTAAAACCTGATGACTGGGTTCTGTGCCACCACACAGTACCTTACATTCACCCTGCACAAATACAAGGATTGTCCTTAGGAAATGCTAAACATCAAATTCTTACCCTTTTCAAACGCCAGGGTGACCACTCCCATTTAAACTCTCAATTTACAACGTAACTGATTAGATTTCTAATCTTTCCACGGGAGGACCAGAGCTACTCCGAAGGAGTTGGTCACATGCACTGCTAAATTAACACAAGGTATTTTCCTTCGGGGAAGGGAGGCATGTCAATTGTCATTTTACTAGTAATTTTGCTTCATAATTAATTTGTGGCTCTCACAGATCTTGTGAAGTCACATAATCCTATACCCATTTTCATTTAAAAAAAAAAAAAAAAAAAGCTCAATAGGGTCAAATGCTTTAAAACTCCATGCTGGGCCCTGTGGCCCACGCCTGATCCTAGCACTTGAGAGGCTGAGGCAGGTAGATCGCCTTGAATGAGGTCAGCCTGGGCTCCATAATGAGTTCAAGGCCAGTCTGAACTTCATAGCAAGGCCTTGTCTCAAAAAAAAAAAAAAAATTAAAACTCCTTGACTATGCAGAGAAATGATTAAAGTTCTAGTTTTTTAACTCCTTAATTCACTCTGCTCAATATACCTCACAAGAGTTGGAAAAAAGGCGATCACATCAAGGTAAAGATCATTGGCGAATGGGTACCCTGCCTGGCGACTGTGCCTTTTTAGAAATGTTCTAAATCACTCCTAGTCCCTAAAACTTGTCCTCTAGAACAATGCTTGAGCTTTGCCCACGCTAAGCAGGGCTCTAGGAAACACCCGGACAGGGTCCTGAGCTCCATGCGCACTGAATGAACTGCCTTCCAGCCGCCCCGCCTGGGCGCGAAGGCAGCTCAGGGTCGGTGGCGCCGAGGCCCGGCCCGGCCCGCGATCCCCGCTCTCGGGGTCGCAGGGACTTCCAGGGCGGCCAGCTCCGGTGGGCGTCGCAGACCAGACACTGGTGTCTGGCACTAGGGAACGCGGGGCGGGGGTCCGAGAGGCCGAGAAGGCATTCCACAGCCTTCAGTTACAAGATAAGAAAGCGGGATTTTATTTCGGGCACAGGAGCGGAGTGAAATCGAAATGGAGACCCAGAGGCCTGCGTGGGGGAGGGGAAAGGGAAAGGAGAAGAAAGGGAAAGGCCATTATCCTAGTGACGCGCGGTCACGAGGCGTTCTCCCGACGTGGGCTCTCGCCATTGGTCGAGCCCGAGGTGACATAACGGCAGCCAGCGGGGCGCGAACAGCGGCAAAGGCAGCGCCGCATTGGAAGTTGGCGAGGCGCGCGCGCTCCCCGGCCCGCCGAGCCTCCGCCCTCGGCCTTCGACCAGCCAATCCCCTCGTCCAGTCCCCGTACGCTCCCATTTGGCCCCACCCCTTTCCTCCATCGCTCCGCCCTCAAGCCGGCGGCGCGCGGTAAGCGCGTCACGTGACGGCTGGCCCCGCCTCTTCCTCTCGGTCCCATATTGAACTCGAGTTGGAAGAGGCGAGTCCGGTCTCAAAATGGAGGTAAAACCGCCGCCCGGTCGCCCCCAGCCCGACTCCGGCCGTCGCCGCCGCCGCCGGGGGGAGGAGGTATTAGGGGGAGCGCGGGGGGTTGATGGGCAGTGGCCGGCATGGGGGGCCTGGCTCGACGGGAGCGGGGAGGCCGGGTGGACTTGGTCGACCGTCCCGCGCTCTGCGTTGAGACGGGCGGTGGGAGGGGGAGGGGAGCGGGGCTCGAAGGCCTCTCCAGGGCCCCGCTCCCCGCCGCCGCCGCCTCGCCACCGGCCGCACCGCCGGCCCTGAGAGGCGCGGCGCGGCTGGATGGAAGGCTCGGGCGGGCGAGAGGCCCGCCGGCTGCGCGGCCTCGTCTGCGAGGCGGAGAGCGGCATGGCGGGCCTCGGCGGGAGCGGTTGGAGGCGGTGGGGGAGGGGAAGGGACGGGCAGGCACATCCGGGCGAGCGAGCAGGCGGGCGGCGGCCACATTGACATTGATCGGCAGCCGCGTTACGAAATGGCGCATTGGCCCGCAATGGCCGCCGCCTCGCTGCGCCGCGGGAAGGAGCGCGGGATTGGAGGGAACAGGCAGGAGGCGCCCGGCAGAAAAAATTGCTGCAAATGGCCTCGGAGCTCGGCGCAGCGCGCTCGCTTAAGTTCTGCCCGCACAATTTCTAGGCCTTTACCGCCAAGCCTCTCTCGGAACGAGGATTCATTGATTCTTGGGCCTGTTTTTTGCTCCACCCAATTGGAAATAGGTTTCTGAGAATTTTGGTGTTTTAAAATAATTACCAATCTGCTATTCTTGCTCGAGTGTTCTTACTAGAGTAGATCGATATTACCAAAATTGCCATGTAGCTGAAATAATCTTCCGGAATTTAAGTGTAGAACTTGGAAAAATATTTTTAAAATCTGTTTTCCCATTCTTTGGATAGGCTTTGGTTGTAGTTTTATGGATTTTTTTGTTTCAGAGGACTACAGCCAGTTAAAATGTTCATGTGATGGGGGAATTTCATGTGCTTTTTTTTTTTTTTGATTTTTGTGTTATCAAGTTAATTTATCCAAGACTTGAAAAAAATGAGACTAAATCAATGGCTTTGGGCTATTAACCATTTTTTTAGCATGTGACAATCTCTTCCACATTAAATGCCTTAACATCTACTTGTAGAGGACACATGGTGTGAGCCTGTTTCAGGACTTTAGATGATCAAAATCTTAATGCCTGAATTAAAAGGCAATTCACATAATTTAAAATAAAACAATTTCAAGCTACATCTTTTATTTTTAAAAAAATAAATTTCTGTTTGTGCTCCATTCTGTGCAGACAGTAAATGCCAGACCTAATGTAAGTTCGGCTTGATAATTTGTCGTGATTCCAAACATGTTTTGTATTTTGAAACGTTTATGAAAGCGCAGGTAAGGTAGTTTTTGTGCTACCTAACAGATTAGTTGCAGAAAGCTCATTGGTGGCCTATTTGTCTTAGGTTTGGGGGGAGAAATGCCGGTTTAGCCTAGGAATGTGCATTTTAATTTGTCGTTCAGAATTTAAGTATCGCGAAGTTTTGTGGTTTAAAATGCTTGTTGGAGTATAGATTGAGAGTACTTAAGATGGCATGGGTGGAACACTGCTTTTCTAAAACTTCAGTTTCTCAGAAAATGATTTATCAATAGCAACTTCTAAACTAATTTGCCTGAGGTACTTTTAGTAGGTTAAAAAAAATGGAGGGATTTTGATTCTGGAATTCTTTTGGACTTCATTTTGGATACAGTGTTGGCAGTTGAAAGGCTGGTAGTAGGTTTTCTTGGCACCATGTCAAATTTTTAACAGGACAAAATGTTTATGTTACGTGTATTTGATATTTTTATGGGTTGGTGCAACTTTTTAGATATTTCATCTACTACAGGAATTTAAATGTATTGATTTTTCCCCCCCCTTCTCAGGGCCATGATCCAAAGGAACCAGAGCAGTTGAGGAAGCTGTTTATTGGTGGTCTGAGCTTCGAAACTACAGATGATAGCTTAAGAGAACATTTTGAGAAATGGGGCACACTCACAGATTGTGTGGTAAGTTACTAAGGGGGCAAAAGGGGTCTTAGGAAAAGATGATCTGTGCAGGTGTATTTCAAAGCTTTAAACGTTTCATATTGCAGGTAATGAGAGATCCCCAAACAAAACGCTCCAGGGGCTTTGGTTTTGTGACTTACTCTTGTGTTGAAGAGGTGGATGCAGCAATGTGTGCTCGACCACACAAAGTTGATGGGCGTGTAGTGGAACCAAAGAGAGCTGTTTCTAGAGAGGTATTTTATTAGTATGTTGTATAATATGTGAAACTATGAGTGTCTGGTTTTTTTGACTTAACATTATTTTATCTGTAGGATTCAGTAAAGCCTGGTGCCCATCTAACAGTGAAGAAAATCTTTGTTGGCGGTATTAAAGAAGATACAGAAGAATATAATTTGAGAGACTACTTTGAAAAGTATGGCAAGATTGAAACCATAGAAGTTATGGAAGATAGACAGAGTGGGAAAAAGAGAGGATTTGCTTTTGTAACTTTTGATGATCACGACACAGTTGATAAAATTGTTGGTAAGTAAACAGACAGTTCCTAGGAACTTGAAACAAATGGCTTTTGTTTTGAACAAAATTTGCTCAGTTACTCATGATTTTATTATGTTTGATATTCTATACTGTGTAGTTTCATTTTCAAAGCATCTACACTTGGGTAACCAGTATCTGGATCAAGAAATAGACACTTGTGGCCATTCAGAGTCAGCTACCTTCTTGACAGTGTTTAAATGAGTTTTGTAATGACAGGATATTATTTATGTATGCTTTCCCAAACGTAAAATAACTTTTTTGTTTGTTTGATTAAAAAAATGTAGTTCAGAAATACCACACTATTAATGGGCATAATTGTGAAGTGAAAAAGGCCCTTTCTAAACAAGAGATGCAGTCTGCTGGATCACAAAGAGGTGAGTAGGATTGTATGCACATATATAGTAGATGAGAGTGGTTTTGGTAAGCTTCTTAAAGATTTTCTTGCCCGTATTTAAAGGTCGTGGAGGTGGATCTGGCAACTTTATGGGTCGTGGAGGAAACTTTGGAGGTGGTGGAGGGAATTTTGGCCGTGGTGGAAACTTTGGTGGAAGAGGTAAGATGCACTTACTGATTCTAAGTACATGTGTATCTGATGTTTCATGGCAAGCTGAAAATGTAGTTTTAACTCATCTCTTGGATTTCCTCAGGAGGCTATGGTGGTGGAGGTGGTGGCAGCAGAGGTAGTTACGGAGGAGGTGATGGTGGATATAATGGATTCGGAGGTGATGGTAAGTTTGCTCATTAAGTGATGATTGGTGTTTGACTTTCTATACCTTACTGAAATTTGACTATGTTACACTTTGTAATTTTACTCAACTTGAATGTGTGATGGTAAAAGTACGCTTAAACTAGTACCACAAAAGAAGGAGCCTGCCTTGGAGATGGAACAAAACTAGCACTTTTTGGCCAATAAGATTTGATGTATTAAGTAAAGCTAGAGGTGTTCTAATTTTCCTTGGTGGTATTTTTGAAAATGACAGTGAATTTTACTTTCAAGAAATAGTCATCTTAATTCTTACTAGCCCAGAGTCTCTGCTCTATTAATGATCCGTTACGACGTTTTAAAGTGTTAAATCATTTCATTGGTTTGTTGGGTGGTATCTTAAGTGTAAACCTCCAAACAAAATTCAGTATCTTGATCATCTGTACATTGCTAATTTATTATTTGGTCTTTATCTTTCTAGGTGGAAACTATGGCGGTGGTCCTGGTTACAGTAGTAGAGGAGGCTATGGTGGTGGTGGACCAGGATATGGAAATCAGGGTGGTGGATATGGTGGAGGAGGAGGATATGATGGTTACAATGAAGGAGGAAATTTTGGTGGTGGTAAGCTTGCTTTACTTAAATGTTAAATATTCAGCACTTAATAGATTTATTACAGATGTTTGAAAATGATGAATTAACATTTACGGGTTTTTTTCTGTATTTTTTTTTTTTTGGTACCGGGGATCGAACTCTGGATCTTGTACTTGCGAGGCAGGCACTGGAACCACTGAGCTAAATCCCCGGCCCCTTTTTCTGTAATTTTTTTTTTGGTTCCGGGGATCAAGCACAGGACCTTACACTTGCGAGGCAGGCAGTGGAACCACTGAGCTAAATCCCCAGCTTTCTGTAATATTAAAAAATGTTCAAATGGAGATAGAACTTTGCTGGCTGTTTAGTAAATTAATAAAATGTAAATTCTTTGGGTGGTAGGGAAAGGGGTATTTACATTTTTTAAATTGTGTTTGTCGGCAGAATTTTACTTAACTGTTAAGTACTTTTAAATGACGAGATTTGCAAATTGAATACTCAAGACTTGTTGAATTTGATGCCATCTGGGGTCTAGATTAACAATCTGTCAGTTGCAGACTATAAATCTGACCCATTACTCTGTGGTATTATGGAATCCGTGAATTGAACACTACCAGTTTTGATGGTGTTAGTGGAATGAAACAACATGCCTTTATGCATCACATAAAGAAACTGGTGTACTTATAATACCCTGATGTCTTAACAGTCATCTAGAAAATGGTTTTGGCAATCTTCCACTTTTGTTCCTTCTCTGCCTATGTCTTAGGGCTGCTAGGCTTCTGTGTTCAGTAGAGGCAGTTTAGTAGCACTAAGGTCTCTCTTCAAAGTCACATGGAAGTATTACAGAATATGATGCCATGATTGTCAACAGATTAGTAGTTACACAAATGAAAAGTGAAAAATAACTGCAGTTAAACCACAAAATCTTTGATTTCAGGTAACTATGGTGGTGGTGGAAACTATAATGACTTTGGAAATTATAGTGGTCAACAGCAATCAAATTACGGACCCATGAAAGGGGGCAGTTTTGGTGGAAGAAGCTCTGGTAGTCCTTATGGTGGTAAGTAATTTCTTGAATCAAAATTTTTCATAGCTATTTTACTTTAAAATTCTATATATATTTGAAAATTCTGCATGTATATTTCCAGGTGGTTATGGATCTGGTGGTGGAAGTGGTGGATATGGTAGCAGAAGGTTTTAAAAAACAACAGAAAAGGGTAGGTATCTTTAAATTTTTATCATGATGATAAAGAATATGTGGAACTGTTCACTGAGTGTAATAATTTTTTTATCCTGTATTATTCAACAGGCTACAGTTCTTAGCAGGAGAGAGAGCGAGGAGTTGTCAGGAAAGCTGCAGGTTACTTTGAGACAGTCGTCCCAAATGCATTAGCGGAACTGTAAAAATCTGCCACAGAAGGAACGATGATCCATAGTCAGAAAAGTTACTGCAGCTTAAACAGGAAACCCTT